TGAACGTGAGTGGGCACGGGGACGTGCAAGGGGACACAAGGACACGTGCCACGTGCAAGGGAGCACATTCGAGGCCACATGAGGGTACACGGGGGCACAAGCGTGTGCGGGGGGGGGCAACGGGGCTGGAGCATGAGGGAGCGGGCACAAGCACAGGCAGGCGTGCCCCAAGCGTGCACGAGCTTGCACAAGCATAAACTAGCACGTACAAGTGGGCACGAGCATGCACAAGTACAGGTAAGCATGTCCAAGGGTGCACATGCACACACGAGCTTGCACGAGCACAGGTAAGTGTGCCCAAGCATTCACAAGCACGCACGAGCTTGCACAGGCAGGTGTGCACAAGCACGCACAGGCACACACGAGCATGCACAAGCACAGGTAAGCGTGCACGTGCACACACGAGGTTGCACAAGCACAGATAAGCGTGCCCAGGCACACACAAGCATGCACAAGCACAGGTAAGCGTGCCCAAGCGTGCACAGGCACACACAAAAATGCACAAGCACAGGTAAGCGTGCCCAAAGCTGCACAGGCACACACGAGGCTTCACAGGCAAGCGTGCACAAGCACGCACAGGCACATGTGAGCATGCACGAGTACAGGTAAGTGTGCATGTGCACACACAAGGTTGCACAAGCACAGATAAGCATGCCCAAGCGTGCACGTGCACACACAAAGATGCACAAGCACAGATAAGCCTGCCCAAGCATGCACAGGCACACAGAAGGGTGCACAGGCAAGTGTGCATAAGTGTGCACAAGGACTCACAAGCATGCACAAGCACAGGTAAGCGTGCCCAAGCGTGCACAGACACACACAAACATACACAAGCACAGATAAGTGTGCCCAAGGCTGCACAAGCACACACGAGCATGCACGATGCACAAGTACAGGTAAGCATGTCCAAGGGTGCACATGCACACACGAGCTTGCACGAGCACAGGTAAGTGTGCCCAAGCATTCACAAGCACGCATGAGCTTGCACAGGCAAGTATGCATAAGTGTGCACAAGGACTCACAAGCATGCACAAGCACGGGTAAGCATGCACGTGCACGCACATGGTTGCACAAGCACAGGTAAGCACGCCCAAGCGTGCACAATCACACACAAGCACAGACAAGCGTGCATAAGCACACATGAGGTTCCACAGGCAAGTGTGCATAAGTGTGCACAAGGACTCACAAGCATGCACAAGCACGGGTAAGCGTGCATATGCACACACGAGGTTGCACAAGCACAGGTAAGCATGCCTAAGCATGCAGAAGCACACACGAGGGTGCACGGGCAAGCGTGTATAAGCACGCACAAGCACACACAAGCATGCACAAGCACAGGTAAGCGTGCCCAAGCGTGCACAGGCACACACAAAGATGCACAAGCACAGATAAGCCTGCCCAAGGCTGCACAGGCACACAGGAGGGTGCACAGGCAAGCGTGCATAAGTGTGCACAAACACACATGGCCTTGCACAAGCACACACGGCCTTGCACAAGCTTGCACAAGCACTCACCGTGCGGCCACGAAGAGGGTGCGGTTGAGGCGCAGCATGTGCTGGAAGTCGAGGCCGAGCTGGGCCGTGACGTTGTCCCCCCGGAGCCCCCCGAAGCGGGGGTAGGCGGCCGTGGCTGCGAGGGGGGGGGACACACGGTGACACCCCACCGGCCCCCCCAAAAAGCTGTGATCACCCCCC